AAGCAAGAGCATTTATGGCCATATGTTGGGTAGACAGAGCAGAGACTAACAGGAAATCTAAAAATATGGTGGGGTTTTTTCCCCAGGATGGAAGAAACTTATGGGTCTGCTGAGTGTGGAATTGTGGGATAAAGTCCATGGATAAAATGTCAGGCTATCCCTGTAATGCAAGCCTGACAAGAACTACTCTGTTTCTCTTACAGCTCTTGTACACTGAAAAGAAATGTGGGAGACAGGAACTGGGAAAATTTATTGAGATTACTTATTGATGAAGGTGGTATGGCCATCAAACAGAGTACAAAAGTACTGTGCTACAAAACCTGAGGTGATGGCAGTTTCTGCTTTCATGTGAAAAAATTATGCAAATACATATCTGCGTTGCAATGTATTCTCCAGAGCACAATGAAAATAGCTTTTCTGGGGAAACCTGGAAAATGAGAGGTGAGCTCATTACATGTATCTTATGGTGCTGTGATTTTCTGAAGCTTGAGAAAATGAAGACACAAATGAATGGGTTTGACCCAAGGAAAATAGTCAAGTCCCTAAGTGGATCACATGCTTGCAGAGAGAGATGCTCAGAATCCCTGCAGTTGGCCTGGTTGTGGGGACATTATTTCAGCATGAAAGTGACTCAGACTAGTCCCAGAAGTTAATCTGTCCAAATGTACATTGAATTTGTCTGTGTCTGCTTCAGACTGGCCTAGCATGTGCCAGCCTGCTTTTGAGATTTGCTTGCTTTGTGTTGAAGGACTTCAGTACCTCTATCGGGCACAGTGTTCACAGGAATGTTTAGACACACAATTTCTATTAAAATTAAGGACTCGGGCTAATGAACACTAATGAAATGATCACTGTACGAAACTGAAACTCTTCAAACTTAGGCTTAATCATGTGTGCATGCATATGCATGTGGATATACACAAACTATTGAAAATGGAAATCCAGTAGGACCAAGACAGAAGTTGTAAAGTTTACGACCAAGACAGAAGTTGTAAAATTTAAGCATGATTTTCTTGGATTTCCTTTCCATGAAAAGCATTTGTTTATGTGTTTGCAATGCCACCATGAAAATTGTCCTTTTTCAATCTTTCTATACGTATTGTAAAATGAAATGTAGATATATATCTAGACATAAATACACACATGTAGGCATACAACCTATGATAGGCAAATATAAATATAAATATAAATATAAATATAAATATAAATATAAATATAAATATAAATATAAATATACAATGAAAGTGTTACCTGAGTAAAAGACTTTTATTCTTTGTTTAGTTAAAAATCTCTGGAGTTAGTATAATTCTTTCAAAATTACTATACTGTATAAAGGCACACAAATACCACACGTTCAGCAAAAACAGCTTGACAAAACAAAAGCACATTGGTACAATCTTACAGCTCATGTTCTTACTTTCCAGTAACTAAGATGTGCTTCAGAATAATGACATTAGAGGCTAAGCACAGCTGTGACTAGAGTCCAGACTAACAAACCCTGCTAGGATAATTAGCATGACCTCCCTGCTATTGCCATTAAGAGACATTAAACTGAGAGAATGTACAAGGAGTAAAACAGAAGTGGAAAGGACCAGACAAAGATGAAGGTTAGGGACTGGGAAAGTGGAGAAGGTTGTAGGGAGTTCTAGCTATGAAAATGTTGGAACAATGGTTTCATATTCTGTAATATGATCTAATGGTCCCAGCTGGTCTTTACCCTGATGGAAAGGCTTTGTTTAAGAACTATAAAAAACTTCATTTTTCATAAACTCTGAGTAATCTGGGATAGAGAAATTTGTCTGATCTGAATTATGTGGTCTTTGTTCAAACTGTCTTCCTTACCGAATCTAGGGAACAATATGAGAGCCCTCCTGTGGCCAGCTGAACACCTGTAAATTCCCTTGATCGCAGTCAAAGACAAGACAGCCCACTAGATCATTTCCTAGTGTCTGATTTCTTGTTCAATGGGAGTAAGTTGTTACTATCACACTATTTATTGTGTAGAGGTGTGCATGGTATTCTCAACAATAAATCAAAGGAGACTGTCCTCAAACACTGATGTTAGAGCATCTAAATTAGAGCACAGACAGAGTGAAGTGGAGCACAGAGGTAACACTACTGCAGAACATAATGAGTTATTATCTACTGCTGTAAGTCAGCACAACTTCACCAACACAGACAAAAGAAGATAAGTGGATTGAAGAGGTAGCCATATGGAACACTTTAACAAAAGGCAGTGGACTTGAAGTGGAAAGGATGGCTCTGAGTGCCAGTCTGTGTCTCCATTCACAATGCACTGACATTTACACTAAGATGGAAAAGATGGGAAATCCTGTGCTCTGACTAGGTATTTTTGATATATCCCTTTGCAGCCTGTAGATACTGTACAAGCTACCCAGCAGGAATCTTGTTAATAGTCTCCCATTTCTAGACAACTTGGACTCTACCAGGCTAATCCTTATTCACATCAACTTTGTTTACAGAAATATCAGAATAAAAAGATTCAATAGCATAAGAAAGGCTGAGAGAACACATTTTTGATACCCATAACCTTTCTAGTAAAAAAAAAAAAAATCCTTTTGCTAAAGGGGCAGAGAAAGATTCTATGCAGCCTCTTTAAAAAAGTGAAAAAAGCGAGTAGGTTGTCTAAGTACATAGAGACCTTAAGCATTATGAAAAGATCAACTTACATAATAAAGAATATGAATCAAAATAATCCCTCTAAAGCTAAGCAATTTGATACCAATTTATCCCTTTCATAACTACAAAAATTAAAAAAATCTTTCATTTTATACAGTCAAATTCAAGAGGACATACTGAGAAGTGACAGCTTAGCTCCGCTGAACAAATATGCTCAAAGCTTAGCCTGAAGAACCAAGTGTTTGCCCTATACAATGTAATGAATTACATTACTGAGCTCTTTAAATGGACATAGGCAGCTGAATACCTTGGGAGAGTTGTCAAAAATAATTTACACAATACTGGTGATGATTTTCATTAGCATGAGTAAAAATGCCGGAAGAAAAAGCAGTATTTGATCCTTCCAGTGCAACATTAATCAATGTTGCCTACCATAAGGTCACCAATTTTACATATTTTGTAAGTCAGAGCAAATGCTGTTCAAATAATCTATATCTGCAGTTTTTCCAGAAGCAGATCAGCATTACCCAAACCCCCTAAATAGTCGGTCCCTGAAATTCTTGAGTTTCATGATCTTTCAAGACTTCTAAATTGAGCTGTCTCTGTTCTCCTTGTCAGGCATGTGCAACATGTGACAAACTCTGGCTCAGTGCAAGAATTTTAACTTGTGAATTGAAAATCTGCAAATCCAAATCCAAGTGGGGGCCTTTCTCTCTTGGTAGTACAGGCAATTGATCAGTAGATGGTGGTGGTGCACTGTCACCTGATGCAGTTTCCTGCCGACAGTAATCAGCTGTTAAACCATTTTTATTATAGAGCACACCAGTAACAGTCTTGGACATGGCTGAATTTTTAATACATCAGAACATTAAGAAACGAAAAATACTAATTATATGTGTCTTATAAACAAGGAAAAATATTTTCTTTTTTGTTTGGTTTGTTGCCCCCTAGAGTTTCAGCAAACTTAAAATTCTTTTTCCTCATCCTGTATTTCAATTCTGTGAGAACAGAGTTGTTTTGCTGTCCTTTAGCTTTTGCTATTTTCACATACTAAATAGAATGATAGAAGCAAGGAGAAGTAAAATAAAGAGTGAGAAGATGCCTAATGAAATTGTCAAGCTCCAGAAAGCCTTTCAACATGGATATTTGGCACTTTTCCTCCCACATTGACTTTGTCACTGCAGTAACTCTCTGGAGATGAAGAAGGGACAGAAGGAGCTGGTTGTAGTCTCCTTTTCCCCAGCAGGTAATGTGAGGATGAGCACTGGGGACATCCTTCAGGTACAGTAGTCTGGCATGCCTTTGTCTCTGAGTCTTGACCTGTTTGCACTGCTGTGGGTATTTTAGAGCTTCTTTCTAGGGACATGTATACCATTATGCACCTGCAGCCAGGGTGCTTGTCATGGGGATGGATTGTATTGATCCTGGGGCTTCTACTGAGAAAGATGAAATAAAGTCTTGGAGCAGGACCCCAAATGAGTGAATTAGTGCTGCCTTTCTGAGCAGTAAAAGAGCTGAAGCCTTACAGCAGGACCCGTGATGGGAGTGACATGCTGAAAGCAGTTGGGATATATTGTAGGCCAGGACCCAAGTAGCAGGGGCAGATCAGATTTCCAGTTAAACACATTTGCCACCAGCTGGCCAGGCTGCAGATTTGCCTGCTGCTGCAGCGGGAATTAGCAGCTTCTATTAGAAGTATTTACATATGATGGATGATTAGAATTTAGAAAGCACAGTTTAGCAGTAGAGTAACTTTTAATATTCATAGGCTTTTGTTTACAATTTTAAATGTAATTACTCTGGAAATGAGCAGTTACAGGTCCATATTAACAGTTTTAATTTGCAACTCACTTCTACCATCAAAAGCAATACTTTCTCAGTTCCTAGATCATACCTCCTAGGCTGACTGATACATTATGTCATGAGCAATCAGAGTTAAAGAAGCAATTGCATTTGGGCTGTGCATAAAACCTATTATGAAGGTAAAACCAGACATTAATTCAAAATTGAACTCATACTTGAAAAGGGGTGATAAAACTGATCCAAACTGTTCCTTTTCCTCAGCCATCTGGTGCCAGAAGAATCTGGTGTCAGAAAAGAGAATTGAGGGGGGAGTCCAGAAGACGTGGCTGAAAGTGTCTTCTGGCCTTATTGGTTCCTATTCAGTTTTAGTTTTGGTCCTATCTTCACCCAAACCCAGAACTGCATTGTGGGGGTGGATGGGTCTTTATCTCATCTCAAAAGCACCGGTAAAAGTTGGGCAGAGAAACAAAGAAAAATGTGCCCCAAGGCTAGCAGGCCAGAAACAAGAACGTACCTTTTCAGATTTACCCAACATGTCAGGTTATTTCTCCTTTTCTCCCTCCCTACTTCACTGTAATTTTTTTGTCACCTAGAAAGAAAAGTATGTTTAAAGATGTAATATAAAGAGCAATTCCCATGCTGCCCCTTTGGATTTGAAAGCTGGTAAGAATTTATTGCTCAGTAAGTTAAATCTTATACTGTGACATTTCTAAGGGCAATGGTTATGTAAATACATCCTTATACTATCTCTGGGGTGCCACTGCAAACAAAAAACACAGTTCCCACAGGGTAATGGTATCACCTTTACATGACTGAATATAAAAAATGTAAGACCATAAAAATAATATTTTATGAACAGTTTCTCTTTTATTAGGTCATGGAAAAATATGTTTGTTTTAAAAGGAAACAAAGTAGTGAAGGAGTGAGAAATTTAAATAATTTTTCATGTTACTTCAAATATTATAAAGGAATACAATAAAATACAAAGAAATTAATAAAGTCAGATTGCTCAGACATAGTTAATTTTGCACTGTGAAGGTGTCAATGCAGAAACATTATCCCTGTCAGAAAAAAAATCAAGTCTCAGGATAAAATTAATATCTTAAAGAAAAATCATAACACAGGCTTGTACTGTAAGGCTTAGTCATTAGTGATGTTTTTTAATATAGCTGTTTAATACAGTATGATTAAAATTATAAGTTAAACATAGTCATGACAGTTCTTCCTTGATTAGTGTGTATTATTCTTATATCAATCTTAGAGTCATGAACTTTTGGTAAGTGGGGTCTAGAACCTCTATATGGATTAATGAGGTTTTACATGCAAATACAACTTCTAACCCTACAAGCACTGAAGCAAATTTACTTCAATTTAAGTATCTCCAGTAACCAGATGTTACTGGAGCAAATGGTCCTTTAAGGTATATGAAAGTCATGAGTCTCTATCTCTCCTTCTGCCCCCATATACACACACACACTTTTTTTTTTTTTTTTTTTTTGATGTAGTGTTAATGTTAGTTATCACACCTGTCCATTTAATGTGAAATCTCTATTTTTCTTGCCTAGGTGCCTGGCAAATGATTCAGGGACAAGGTAATACCTAAAGAAAAATATCACTGTCAACACTGCAGTAAAAAAAATATCCAGATCCCTCTGTTCCTTACCATGTTATAGGGCACAGTACTGCACTCCCTGATTCTGTAGATGATGTATGAAAGGCAGACAATAGAAGTAGAAATTTGGTCTTAAACTTTGACTTGAATGCAGTAATTTATTTTGTGCTGAATATTACCTCACTGAGACTGTTTCCAAGAAAGCAACATTTAATATTAAAAGTGAATTTCATGCTTTCCAAGGCATGCTGTGGGAACTTTCCTGTTTCTTTAAGAGGTAATGAATTTTTCAAGATGATTCTTTAAAAAATTGCCTCTCAGCTGATTACCTCTTTCGTCTGCTGTTGATAGACTTACGAGCAGTATTGGAAAGACTTCCAGTACAGGGAAGAACTCTCCAAAGCTGCTCTGGCCATTCTTCTGCCTTAGGCTACGCTCAGTCTCTGCAGTTCAGCCCAGTTTTCCAGACCGTATGTCCCCAGTCACTCCCCAGGGAAGATTATTCGTAGGCTCCACTGCTCTGCCTGTTCAGAAACACTTTCTAACATCTAACCTAAACCTCCCCCAGTGACACATAAAGCTTTTAGGTTTTCATCCTATACAACATGAACATGGTAAACAGATTACTTCCTTTTGCAGCAGCAACTTTTTACATGTCGGAAGTTGATGTCTGTCTCCCTCCTCATTCTTCCATTTTGGCTGTCAATCTTTGCAGACAGTTAATTATTCTTAGTTCGCTCCTCTGGATCCCTTTCAGATTATTCACATCTTTTTAAAATAACTGGAGTTGCCAAACATCTCTTATAATGTGGGATTTCCCATGTTTAAGCCTCAAATCTCACATCCCATATTAAAAACATGTGAAATATTTCCTGCTTAAATATTTCCTCTGTATTTGAATAGGTGACATGGGTTCTGAGGTTGAAATATAGAAACTTGCAGCTGCTCCCCTGCTCATTCTTCAGAGCTGCCTTTGGCAGCACAGAGCCATGACTTGGATGTGGCTGTGACAGAAGCAGAAACCAAAATGTCCCTAAAGGAGCTGAGAAGGTCTGAAGAACAGTGCACACCTTGAAGCACCAGAAAGGCGTACCAGTGTTTTAAAATTCAGAACTCAGTAATTCTGAGATTCTGCCCTGCATCAGATGTAATCTTTCACACAAGGACTCACCAGTATAATAAGAAAATAAATACTCCTATGTTTTGTAGACAATGCTTTTATTTATACAGCTCGGAAGATGACATTTTAGGTCCCAGTCTCCTGTGTTGCTTGGGATTCTCCATGCTCTCTTCTCTGCAAAATGCTATCCAGCAAGTCATGCTCAACACTGCATTTGCTCAGTTCCTTATACCTAATTACCTAAGGACTTTGTCTGCACTGCACTTCCTCTTTTTCTTATCACTACAGTTTTTTTAGTTTGACAAGATTATTCTGAGTTTTGGTCCTGTCCTCCGTTACTCTTGCTGTTTCTCCCTGCCTGGTGTCGTCTCTGAATTTAATGTTGCTCTCAAGTATACAAATTATTTTTAAAAAAACCCAACCAAAACTATAACCAGGCCTTGAACTTTATCTGATGTATCTTTAATTTCAACAAAGAGTCATCTGCTATGTTATTTGGAGCAAGTCAGAAGCAGTACAGACTCTACTCCTCAGAACCATTTCCATGGATATGACGCAACACCGAGGTATGAGTTTGCTTCTTCCACTTCCAGAGGTATGGAAGTACTGTGTTGCCAGTATCAGCTCTTGTCTCTGGAAGGAAAGACTGGACAGTCATTCTGAATGTCCTTAGCCCTGTCCACTGTGGGAGAAGCCCTGTTTCAGAGATGTGAGTGCACATTTAGCTGGGGCAGAACATGAAATCCACCTGAAGGAATAAACATCTCCTCTCAGAGCTAAGAATACTCCAGCACTAAGAATGTCCTCCGCAAAATATCTACTTCAGCAAATAGGAATGCTTTTCTTAGAGTCCCTAGGTAACTGATAATAAGAGAGAAACTACAGCCTTTTTCAAGCTCTAAGACCTGTGAAATTCAACTCTAAAAATATAAACTGTAGCAGACCCTAATTGCATGAGAAGAATTTCCTTTAACATCTTCAAAAGGTCTGAGATCTCTCACTTCGTGAAGAGTTTTAGAGGAATCTTTTAATAATTTTCTATGAATATGTATGAATCGTTCCAGTCTGGGCCTATAAGAAGAGTGAAGCTTAGCATTTAGGAAATACTTGAACCTAATTCACTTCATGTTTTTTTGCTAGCACTCTGACCAATGATATTTCTATGTAAAAAAGGCTTTGCAGATGACCTTTATATTCCTGCCAGAGAGACCTTACAGGCAGTGGCAAAATCTGTCATTACCCATGGTGAAAAAGATACTATTCATCCTTATCTAGTCTGGACATCTTGGCAGGATCAGAAATATATTTCTAGTTAACTCAGTGTCCCAGCGCAAAACTTTCAGTGACCAAAGTGGGTAAAGGGAGTGAAGAAAAGCAATTTGAACTATATTTGAAAGTTAATTTCACTCACTTATTCTATTTCCAACTGAATTTCTACCTTTTAAACCAATTGTTATTGTGTTTGAGACCACTACAAAAAATTCCTGTTGAAAAATGAGATGGTGGTTTATACAATCCACTTGCCAACAGGGAGAGTAGAGGTGTCTGGAAAGATATGAAATGTATAGCCTGTGCTGATAGAACATGGGCTCACAGGATTTATATGCACTCAGGGACCATTTACAGGACTATTTTGTGCCTGTGTGGCCAGCTATGAGAACATCATGGGCTGGTTTTTCTTTGTAATGATGCAAGAAGGTAATAATTCCCACATTTTTCTCTCAGTGACAGGAGGAAGGTAGCTTTAAGAGCTGGAAGGCTGAGGACTGGGACCTCTAGTTTCTCCAAGATGATTTTAAAAGATTCTTTAACTCCATACACTTTGTACTACTAAGCTCCTTAAAGATTTATGAAGTTTATGACAATCATTTTTCTCTGTGAAATTTCCTTTCTGGTCAAGTATTTACAGGAAGAAAAAGTATTCTTCCCCCCGTCCCACCCCAGTCAAGTCAGCAGATCTTATCCTGTGAGAATTTCTGAATGAAAGGGCGAGATTAGTGTTTCAAGAACATACCTTAAACTCACTTTAGAAGCATTTACTGGACTTCCTGCCATGCCTCCTATCCAGCTGGCTGGGCAGTCACTGCCCTACCTCCCCCTGGAATTCAGCTTTATTTTATTGGAAGGAATTGGGGAAAAAAATTCCACAAACAAGCTTTGAGGTGCTTTATATCATAAAATCCCACTTGGGATGTGATTGCTTTTGACTAAAGCAGGGAGCTTCACTTAATGAGATTAATGACATTTCCATCTGCTTAGAGGATTCTGCTTTTCTCTCCCTCTCATTGACAGGGGAGAAAAGTTAAATTGTAATTGTATTGCAGGATAATACATTCAGTGGCTTTTGAATCAGTGCCCACAGCTATTGCTGCCTCAGCTGTACAGAAGAGAGCTGACTGCGCTCAGGGGTTTTACCAAGACCTATTTCTCACCAAGACAGAGAATATTTATTTTGGTCCTTAGATGCACTTTGACATTTACAGAATCATAGAATATACTGAGTTACAAGGGACTCATCAGGATCATCAAATCCAACTACTGGCCCTGCACAGGGTCCCCCAAGAACCACACAGTCTGCCTGAAATTAACAACTTCTATTTTACGTCCTGCTCAAGATGTTTGGGAAGAAATGCAAAACATCTTATATTTTTTTTGAACATTAGCTTTTCACAGAAAATCACTTCAAACAAATTTCCTTTCCTACATCTTTCAGTTTTGGAGTATGCTTCACTGTGATAGTGATGGATCTGCATAGTAGGATCACACAACTGTTTTGCTAGGACAAAGTAAGATGTAGAAAGACAGCAAAATACATAAATTCATCTTAAAAATAATAACTCCCACACCACTGCACAAATTATTTACATTATTTTTTTGAGATTAATAGAGTGCGCTTCAGAAAGTCAGTTATCCTTTCACCCTACTCTACAAGTTTATCTACCTTCACTGAGCTTTATTTTCCCAAAATATTGAGGCGGTATTAAAAAGTTGTTTTTTTTTTTTTTTAAAGATTGAGAACTACATGATTAATATGCTGTTATTGGGCTTTTTCTTTTACAGCATAAGTAATCCTTAGTTGTACTTAGTTTTCTTTTACAGCATAAGTAATCCTTAGTTGTACTTTTTACATGTATGTTTTGTTATTATAATTGTATCTGGCAGTAAGTTCATAGTTAGAAAAAATAGCCCTATTCATAATGGTTTCTAAAATCAAACCAGTCTTAGAGTGGTGTAATTTTAAAAAGCAGATCACTACTCAATTATCTGCCCAAACACGTGTTGTTATTTAAGGTTACTTGGTATTTAAAACTATCAGTGACTTTTTATGAGGCAAAATTAAAAATCTGGGCCCTAAGGAGCTTGTGAAAGGTTTCATCAAAAGAAAAAGGTTCGAATGTTCATAAGCATGCCTTGTTCCAGTTTGAGGCAGAGATAATATGTGTGACACTCTATATACTTAGAAATATTTTTACTTTATCTTCTACTGTCCAAAATCTGTTTTATCTTCTAGTTTCTCTATCAAAGTCTGTCATGCAGGCCTATGTCAATCTCTCCTTATGAAGGAGTAGAACCAGCAAAGCTGATCCACCAGGATGCCAAACGCACTTGGTTCAGCGTGTGTGGGCCCTGGGGTCCCCAGGGAGCACCCACTCAGCATCTGAACCATCCCCACCATGGAGTGCTCTGTGCCCTCTCCCCTCTCCTTCATCTGTGGGGCTCTATATATGCATGATTTCTCTATGTGTGTTTAATCTTTGATACTTAATTCAACATATGAAACTATTTAACAAATACAGTTGTTTTAATGAGTACACCAGCATTTTTTTACTATATGGATTTGAAGAGAGCTAGATAAATTTTGCTTTTACTTTAAACATTTTCAATGGAAACTTGTATTTTCAAAGGAACTATAAAGCTTGCAGAAACTCTTCAACAAGGTGATGTATCTTCTATCTTATTTATCTTCTAAATAAGTTTTCATTTTTTCATAAGAAATCCAAAATATTTGGAAGTTTGAAATTCATATTCTTTGGTTTTGCTGCAAGACTTGCAGGAAGCCTCAGGGATCTTTATTAGGAGCTCTATCACTTTAACATTTCTTCATGTAAATGAAGCTCTTGTTAAATGCTAAGTAAGGTTAAATCATGCTCTGCAGAGATTGCTAAGAAGTTTGATTTAAATTTGTGCCCTCCTCTTGATTACCTGATTTTCTTAGGAATTTCACTACTTCTCCAATTGCCATGGAACCTAAACATGTTCTAGAAATGAGCCAGAATTTCCAAAAAAAAAACCCCCAAAACTGCAGAAAAATAGAACAGTAGCAGGAAGATAAAAGGTTCTGACCAGTAGGTAGGAACAAAAATTTAATTGTGTATTCTTCATAGTGTGTCCCACTTGCATATCATTCTTGGAATTAATCAATGCTGTAAGAATACCAAGAAAAAACAGCCAACCTCCATATTTCTTAGAAAAGGAAATATATAATATTACATTACTTTTCATTAATATGTTACTTTTCAGTGCTGTCTCATCACTTTTTTTTCCCGACACATTGTCTAGCTTTCACCCACAAGCCAACTAGAGGGGCCTCAGGGCTTTGAAGTACAGCTTGAATGACACATTAATCACTATTGGAAACTTACAGACTTCATGCTCACCTGGTTCCTGGGTGCCTACATCACTTAAGCACATTTTTAATCCAAGCATCTCCCAAATGAAGCCCTCCACAGATTACATGCTTCCCAGAGGAGGAGTTTTGTTATTTAGTTCTTGCTAAGGACTGTTCACCAACAGGAAAATGTGTATCTGAAAAAATGTAGGTTATGTCCATATAGACAGGTTGAAAATTTGATCAAATGTTGGACAACAACATATCCAAAGTGTTCATTTTCCATAATGCAGCAGTCTTATGCCCAGTCTCTCCAAAACACCAGAAGAGAAAAGATGCCACAGTAGAGTCTTTTATGTAGAAAAATACTTAGCAAGCCTGCTGAAACATCCCCTGAGAGGCTAACCAATTTCTACTTGTAATTCTTTTATATCTCCTTTAAGATGGTATTTTCTCCCTAAATGCAACATTGAAATTCTACTTTTAGCATGTTTTAAAAATGAAAGTTGCATTTTCAAAACTGAAAAAGAAGTCTCTGTGAATAACCAAATCTCAAGAACTATAGCTACAGATACAGGATTACACCACTCAAAAATTTAAAAAAATACAGTGTTTGAGCTTAATAAAGCCAGCATCACCTGCAAGCCAGATTAGTAGGAGGGTATGGTCTCCTGCCAAACTTCAGGGAAAAATCATATTTTCAAGAATTCATAACTCAGTTGTAAAATATTTACAACTGTTTTCCAGACTTACCTTTAGTACACAAGTTTCAGTCCAGAAATCCTTCCATTTAACCAAATACAGTTCATGTTAAGGGACAAAGAAACCAACTTTGAATCTATTTACAGTGTTTTGTTTACAACACTGAAGTTTCACCATTGAGAATCAATGAAAGATATAGAATACAAACAGTTATGTTTATTTGTACAAAATGAAGAGCAATATTAATTATATAAGTACCTAATTTTGCATACGACTTTTCACCAGTAGATTTCATGAAGTCAGGTGTCATAGTCCATGTTAATTAGATGAGCACCTAGTTCTGTGCAGCACTTTTTACCAGCAGTTGCCCAGAAGTCAGGTTTGAGGCCTCTGATCTACAATCAAAGAAACAAGCTGACTGACATATAAGCTGATCTACCAGACTGGGAACTGAGGTAGGAAAAGCATCTGGAGATCTTTACTCTTAACTGGGCCTGCTCACCACAAAGTAAGTTACACGTGCAATAAAAAGTACAATGCACTATCTTCACACGTGAATGTGTATTACAAAGTCTGGTCTGTATCAGCCTGTTCACCCTACACAGCTCAAATCATGGGTGTAGCCATGGCTTGCTCTGGCCAAGAGAGATCAGTAGCTCTACATGACTCCAGGGAGGGTTTCATTTGCCTTTCAGGGAGTTAAAAGGAGACTGGAGACTGTCATCCATAAGCTTTGGAGCATGCCATGCTGGTATGTTTCTTTAACAGTAACAGGTGATTATACTTATAATTATAGTCACAGTATAATTATTATACTGTTATAGTAGCCTAAGAAACAGGGTTTAGGTAGAGATTTTGCAATTGTCCTAAACACCTAGATATCTAGATATTGAACCTACAAGTTTTAGTGGTACACAAATTCAGTTCCCACCCATCCCCCTGCAAAACAAAGCAGGGAACAAAGTCACCCACCATTATCCTTCACATGGACACCTCTAATAGCAATAGTTTTGTAAAGCTTTCTTTTACAGTATCTATTGAATATAGGCATTGAACACTTCATACGGCAATATGTTGTGTGAAATTGTCTTCTGTTGCAATTTGTGTTCCTTAGTCTGTGAAAACCATACAAAAATAATAAAGTTTCTAAAAAAAATTAAATAACAGGTACTGATCTGATTCCTTGCTGCAATATAAAACTTAATCTGCATTCTTCAGTCACCTCTGTGAGCTTATTTGTATCCCAGGCTAAGCATGCCTGGGACAGTACAGAAAGAACATCTGTTTATGTAGAGCAAACAATTATTACCCATTATGAGGACAGCACTGGAACAGAGATATAATTAATTACAGTAAATTTAGCGCTATGAATTGAAGGACTTGACTCCCATTAGCAAACAGGGGAGGAAAGCTCAGCAGGCAGATAACATCTTTTATAGACAGGGATCACATAAATGCCCATTTCACACTTATTTAATCTTGCAAAAACACAGTTAGGGGAAAAAAAGTTGTTCCTGAAAAACAAATGAGCTATTCTAAGGCATTCAGACACCCCCATACAGAGTTTGTTTTGAAGAGAGCCCTGAGCAGTCAGGATAGCCCATGATCCAAGCTGACAGACCTGCTGGGAAACGATGGAGCCCTGAGTGCCCCATGGACAGATGCAGAGCGGTGCTGCCAAGGCGCCTGCCTCACCCCTTCGGAGTGCCAAGGTAGAGATGCACCAGCATCCATGCTCTGCACTATAACCCACATGTGGTGCACACAAGATGCTGTCTGGGGTAAAGGATGCCAAGTGGGCCAAGGAAAACCATGCAGGGCCATGCAGGCAACCTGCCCAGGGTTTAAAACCTTCAATAAGGTTCTGCAGTGAAAAACAGCGTGTGATAGTTGGCATACTGCCATTCTCCGGAGGTAAGAGCAGCCACCAGAGTGGGTATGTTCTGGTGAAGGTTCCTGAAAACGAGACCACCAGATTTGGGACCAAAGTGTTATAACACCTTTCTCTTTATTTCCTAAATATGTAGCAAGACAAAGCAGAAGACAAGTTATTAGGAATCCAACGGTGGATTTAAGATGGGAATGTAATAAAAAGCAGAAAAAACAGCTCACTCTCCAGTATCTAAAAACCCAACCAGCCAAAATTTCACCTGTGAAAAGATCTAAGAATTAATATACTGACTGACCATGAACTGGGTCCAGCTAGGTTGGAGGCTAGATGTTGAAGTTTCTACAGGACTCTTTCTGAAACACAGGCTGTATCAGAGAAAGTAGAGCAGGAAATACTTCCTAAATTATTTGGAACCTCTTTTTTATCTTCACAGATAAGTTTATTTCTATATATTGGCATCTAGTGCTGGAATCTTTTTCCCCTAATAAGGTACAGGTGATGAGAACAGCACAACAATGAGGAAGGTCCCTTGCACTCTGTCTGTAACACTGTAGTCAGGGAAGAACTAAGAAATGTATAACTGCTTTGGTAGTTTTGTAGTCTTTGGTCCATGACTGAGTACTTGGTGCTGAAGATTCTGGAATAGGCAGCAGTACCCTGGTTTTGTATAGTCACTTTTTTCATAGCTTGCAGGTAGGAAAACTTATAGTTTAAAGCTTACTGATAACATACAATAAAAATATTGACTTATTGACATTTTAGCATTAAAGCTATTTTCAGAAATTATTTGGAACCTCTTCTTTATCTTCACAGATATTTCTATGTTGCTTGTGAAATTTAGGTGCAAAATGTTTGAGTTAATTCCTCTCTACAAACTTTTTCTTACTTATATCTGTAACTTGATGATAAACACCATCAGTTGCAGAATACTGTAATGTAATCTTTAGTTACTCAAAACACACCAACATGTCTCCAAATTATGGCAAGTCATTTAAGTGTCCAAGTTAGTGGCTAACCCTGTGTGAAACTGAAACTTGGGCACCAGGGATTTTGTCAAATGGCCTAAGTGTTCATTAAAAATGACAGAAGGAAAAAAAACATGGAAAAAAAAAGTAAATTCTGAATTCTAAAATCTAAACCAAACATTTGGTTGAGACTTGAAAACAATAGTTTCATTGGTAGTTTTCTCAGGATATCAGTTAAAAGTCAGCATGAGTGTACACAAACAAAGCACAGATCTGGAAACACCACCGTGTCAAATTCTCAGTTTTTACCACAGACAATGCCAGGGTGTGTATTTCTGTGGCTTTAGGGATGATACTGTCTTCCTCATCCTTCATCCCTGACCTCCTTGCACAACTAGAAGGAACACCAGAAACACCAGTTCCTGGCCTGGCAAGTGCATTGTCTAGACCAAAACACCTAAAAAGTAATGTTAGTGATTAGAAGGAAACCACTGTCCCATGACAGCACTCACAGAACTGTCTGTCATGTTTTTCTATCTTCAAAGGGCTAAACAGTGATCAGTGTATGACTCAACAACTGTTTCCACGGATATTTTATAATTCAGACATCATGTCTCCCAAAACTTATCATATGTAAATAACAAGATGCATTTAAAAGTCTGTTTCTTTATAAAGCACTTGAAATGTAGGGGACTCCTGTGCCCTACAGCTGTGTTCAAGTAAATATGTAGCAAAATCAAACTGGGTATACACAATCACCTATAGCTTCTTTAAACAAGGCCACCTCAGAGAGGTAAGAATAATAGTCTAGGAAATGTTGAAGAGCCTTTTTTTCCAGCCAACATACACAAATCTACAGCTACTTTGTTCCCAGAGGGCAATTTTCCTGTATCACATCATGGAAGTTGTTGCTTCATTTGGCCTGAATTTTGGTATATTCTTAACAGTGCTTCCCTAATATCACTGTTCATCTGCTATTATAAAACAATACTTACAGCTTGTTTATACTTCTAGCTGATTACATTCATATATTCTTCATAGAAAAGTTTTCTACAACAATTCAGGAACTACAACCCCAATAAACCAGAATGATAATCCAGTACAATCCTTCCCATCCTAATAGTTGAAATTTATTTCTATGCAATTTCGGGATCATTTTCAGCCTTTGTAAATCTTATCTAACACTCTATCATCTAGGGAATATTCTAAAATCAGATTAATGCACATATAATTTAGCTTCTTGTTTAGTTTTGCTGCAATTTTTATTCTGTAGCATTTCTATTCTGTAGCATTTATAGCTCTGACAACTCTCAGACTTTGTACTTATTTGAAAGTTATGTATTTGCAGATGGATAAAAAGTATCTCTGTATGTTAGTTACAGTATTTGCAATACTTGACCCTTGTCAAGTATTGTGATGGCAACAGTCAATTTCATCTAATGATACCTTCTATAAGGACATTGCATTTTTATATCCATAGACCAACCTCTACTTATTTGAGTTAATTTCTGATAGCACCTCTGGCATACATCCTCTAAATGTCCAGTTTTCATGCTACTGCTGCAGGAGATCTGCATTAATGCACTGTATTGAAGTAGTTTAGATTTAAATTTAGATAATCTGGGTTTGCCTTTACCACTGCTGGTGAACCTCAACAATTTTGTCAAGCACCAGTCACAGATTTTCCAGTTACAGTCACCTTGCCACTTGATCTCATTCTGCTTGTTATCAGGGACCCACATTGAGTTTAAATCTCTAATTAATCGGAAAAGCTCTTCCTGCCTTCAGAAACTCTGTATTGAACCAAAATGGTTCAAATGATCAGGCAGCTAACACCAAACAAGTCTCGAGATAAAGATGAATAGATGGGAACCAAAGGGGACAGGAAAGAGACAGAGGCTGCAGTGGGCTGGAGAAAGAGCTTCTGGTTTAGGCAGTCTGCAGCTATTTGTGCATGTGAAGAATTGCAGCTGCTGATATTGTCAATATGCCAGAAAAAGGAGCAGCTGCAAGAGAAGAAAGAAGGGAGGACTTTTTAGGACCTCCTGACTTGACCCCACACTTCTGTAGTGTAAATTTTTCCTCCCCTCTCCCCTGCCATTCTCTACCCATAAAAATTTGATTACTATGATTTCATGCAGGTGAAGTGAATTTCACTTTTAAGGCTTGAAAGTTGTTTCATTTTCAAACCCTGAGGGCTTACAGTAAGAGAGTGAGAAATGAGCTGTGAGAGATCATGGGTGTGATTTTGTGTGGGGTTTTTGGCCACTCAGTTTCAGGAGCTGGCATTTTAATAGTGCTGAAAGAACTCCACACTGAGGATTGCAAGCTATCAGGTGAATGTCATAAAATGAAATACCATCTCTGCAGGATGTGGTTTGTCTGTGTTAAATTTAACATCTCCCAGTCATAATAGCATCACTGTAAACGTAAAAAATTCAATGTTAATGTTATTCTGTATTTAAATAAAAACATTAATTAAAAAGCTATTTTAAATCCTGTCATTTCTTGACTCACATCTTACAGAATAAGCTATGACTTTTCAGCACATAGAGTGACTGTAAAAGAGAAGCTGTAATTTCCTATGTAGTTAAAATTTTTTCTGAGTCCTTATTGCTTATCTAATATATTTCAGTCATATAATTATTACATGCTGTTTCCATAGTGAGCTCTTTATTAGATATTTCTCTTGAAAAAAAAATTCAGAACTTTCCATTCTATTTTTTTACTACAATGCACAACTGCAGAGACTGTACATTTAGTGGCGCATATTCATGTTGCAGATTTCATTTTTTTTTCTTCAAAAATCAGTGATTCTTTCTACTACTTAATTTTTTTTTAATATTTGGTAGACAGCTTTACAGGTGATTTAGACAGGTCTGTAAAAAGAACCATAGCCCTTCATGACAGCATTATGACCTGTGGGAAGCTGGGGAACAAGACCATGGGCTACTAGGAGCACAAGGCTTCTCAGACAGACCTTGCTCCTGCCTGGGCTAAAGCACTGCCAAATTTGTGAAAGGTTCTTTGACATAAGAAGCCTAAGGGCTGTATGAGAGGAGCTTGGGTTTAGTACCTACAGTAGGAGCCAAAGACAGACCAAGAGAGATGGATGTGTGGAGGATATGGATCCTGACAGTGGAATTGGCTGGGTGCTCCGATATAGACTTCAGTTTTCCTTCCTATAATAAACATTCTCTGTGACAGGAAGAAGAGGGCTGATAGGGCACACAGCCATAGCTCACACTGGTAAAAGACTTAACAGTCTGGGCACAGGAACATTTTCAAATCTGAGTGCTCATATGTTACCAATAGACTATAGAACCCTGCTCTTTTGTCCAAATTATTTATTTTCTCTTGTATCAACTAATTCTAGTCCTTGAAAATACATGGTGGAGTCTTTCACCCCAAGCCCTCCTTCCTGCAGCTCACAAAGGATGGCCACTGCTCTCTGGCTTACTAATTCCTTATCTAAAGGGAAGCTGTCCTGCAAGTGCTGCTAGGTAAAAACACACTATCTATCACACTTAATAAAAAATGAAACACAGGGACATCAGGCAGCAAACATAAACACTCCCAGAGACCTCCTGCCACCATAAAATAATTCATGGGGTTGGAGCTAAAGTAGCATTCTGTCCCTGATAATGTTCCCAGTTGGCTTACCAGCACCTATAGCTTCCCAGGGTGTTTGCAGAACAATCCCAGCTCTAGTTTCAGTTCAATAACTTACTTTATTTGTAACCTGCTGTTAAGGAAGTTGCAGATGTGGTCAAGTCTCACTCACTGAGCAGAAAATTGTGTCAGGTATATGAGAACAGCCAACATTGAGGTCACTCTAAGCATTGTGGCTTTTCATAGAATAGTGCCAAAAGAAAAAGTCTAACTGCCATCAACTCATCTTTCCTTTCTGAAATATCTCTCACAAATCACTGCAAAAGGTCTAAGGAACAAATATCTTTCTTAGAAAAATATGCCCAAGTGTAGAAAAAAAAATAGGCTATGGACAACATTTAACATAAAATTCAATACTCTTCTACCTCCAAAACTGTAGTTCAGTGAGATCATGTGGGAAACTACCAAAATTTCCACCTTTTCTCCTACAGGTGCTATGTAATACAGTTTTCAGTGGGGGCCACATTTTTCTCACCTTAGGAGATTTTAATAGCATTCTTATCATTCTCTCATTCACAAGAATATTTTTTAAAGAATGCTAATAATTGGTCTCTTAGAAAGTCAAGTCTATAGAAGAAAACCTGAATGGAAAGCACAAAAGAGAGTTTTCGAAACTGTAAAAGCCTTTTCTGAGAAATAGCTCTAAGTCCAAATGGGAAAGGCTCAGGCAATAAGTAGAAGAGTGAGTTTGCATGTACCAAGTCCTTTAAAAGATACAGCTAGATGTGGTGCCAAAGAAATGTCTATTATTTTCTACTAGGCATGGAAAAATCGATGACAAAGAATGAAAAAGAGAATGATATAGAAAGCATGTGCCAGTGGCAACCTGGGACTCCAGCAGAATACTCCTATTGCAGTCAGGGATTCAGAGGCACACAGCAGCATAACAACATTAACTCAGATGTTTCTGTTAAATTTGTTCTCTTTTGTTTTTTGACACCATCATTGCAATAGCCTTTTTACTCCCTTATGGACAAAAAAATCCAACAGAATATGAGAGCAACAGGTGAACTGAAAACATTTCTTCACTTGAGTGTTACGTGGCTTGCGCTAAGACCCAAACAAAAATGTAGTTCTCATATATAACATAACATTGGGCTTTTAGGAACATAAATCTATGGATACACAACACAAAATTCATTGCAAAATTGGCATAACATGAATGAGCTACTCTTAATTGAATGCTATTTCCTTTTCCCCATTATTTCTCTATTAAAGTGCATGGCTGCTCTGAGAATCTGTACTGCTAAAATGAGTTGCATGGGTACATGACACTTCCTGCTGTATCATTGCACATTTTTCCAGCACTAACAAAAGAACTAGAATAAGAATCTGAAAATACTTTTGTTCCATTATAAACTCAGAAATTTAGAAGCTTGATTATTTCTTCACTCCTTGAACTCCATTGCAAATATAGGGCTGGATCCAGCGTATTTTGGATAGAAGGGAAATGCACTGGCAGCACATCATCGAAGAGAGTGTTTGCTGCACCAGAACAGCCTGAGCTGAGAGGTGAAAGCTACACTAGGAAAAGGATTTAGGGAAAGGGAAGTATTTTACAGAAGTATAGAAGTATTTTATACAATCAGCAATCTGGATCCAAATCATAAAGAAGCTATCTTCTCTGTAAAACCTCCTGTAATTAAAATCACCTAAGTTCAAAAGGGAAAACCAATGTCTTACTACATTCTTGTGTAGTCTGAAAGCCAGGATATTGCAGTGTCATTACCTGAAAAAAAAGTAGGCTGAAATTTTGGAAGTCTCTGATGATAAATATAAAAGTCAGCTTGAAGGGAGCCAAGACCAGACTTTCTTGCTGATAATTTAGTTAAACAAAGTAATACTTATTTCATTAAGTGTGGCCTGGAATATTTTTTGTTTTAATCTCTTGAGTCACATAAAAATACGTTGTAAGCTAAAAATCAGAATAATTTAAGTAATGGCTATATTTATAAATGTTGCTGTTTCTTTTGCCAGGTAATTTGGAGTGTTCTGCAGCAAAATACACAGATGTTGAAAATATTAACACACTAATATGAAAACAGCCTCAACATTTAAACAAGGACCATTTGAGAAGACCACAAAAAATAAAATGACGAATCAGGAGGAGGGAAAAAGTGGATAGAGGCAAAAATTACAAATCATGGATGAAATGTAACATAACTGAATCCCCTCTGGTGCAGAATGCAAGGACAGCGGAAATGCCCCTTAAGATGCTGTCTTGTGATAATGTGTAGGAGAGGGGTAAAGCCCTGGCACCAATACGGACACCCTCCAGTGCTAAAACTCGTAAGAAGCGCCATGGACATGTATGTCTTAGGGGTGTTCCCACTCTGCCACTGCAAAAAAGAAGGAAATGAGAAAATATGACTATTTGCTCCCTTGCAAAGTAATCATTGGCACACTGCTCTCCAGGAATGTGTTGTTCCAAAGCTCATGGAGAAGCAAATTTCACAGGACAAACCAGCCCCATCCATGCCCTATCTCCAAAGGGAAGAGACAACTCAAGAGGGGTGTCACTGCCTGGAGGGGACTGTCTGCGCCTTAGCCCTCTCTGTCCCTTTCCTTGCCTTAACCAATAAGTTTCAAAGCTGGAACAAGGATAGTCTGATCCAGAAATGTTTGTTAAGAATTCAGGACTAAGGGATTTAGAGGAGGTGGCAACAGATCATAGTACCCTTGGCACATAGGAAGTCTTCACAATTCCTAAGGCTGCTGAGGCCCCTAAGACCAGGTGAGCCACCAACCTGTTTAGCATTGTAAACAACTACAGAAAACCTCCTCTGATGGACAGAGCTCCCACCATCATGGGTCTGTCACCAGCCATGACAGTGCACAGGAACCACTAACCACTCTAAACCACTCCACAAACTGCTTGACATTTCCAGCTTCAGATGTTGGACTTAAGAACAGAAAAAAAACCCTCAAATCCAAAATAAATGTGTACATTTCCCCCTTACAAAAGTCATTGCTTTTTCCTCCTTAACTTTAAGGCTTCAAAATTAACCACAAAAATTTCCTGTCCAAGAATAAATAAGCCCTAAGCAATTTCATGACACTAAACACCCTCAGCATCACTCATTCACCTTTCTTTAAAAGAGAAACAGCCCTTATATGTCTCCTCAGTAGTTCTGTGAGGCCTGAGGCTCTCACCTCACAAAATAGCCTAATTTTAAGCACTTTAACTCACTCAGGGCCCAGAGCAGTAACACAAAAATGAGAGTGCAGAGTGTAATGTAACACTTTGTGCAACAGATAAAAACAATTTATTGTTTGGGTACAAATTCTGGAAAGGAATAAATTTTCCATTTTAAAGGAAAGACCAATATTTTGAAATGAAATGAAATCCAAATATGAGCTTGGTTCTGTGTTCTGATACACAAAAATATTCTAATGAAGTGAATAAATGCCATTTATTTGAGTGTAACACTGTCATTAAAGACTGTGTGGAGATATTTAACTGCCTCAGAAGAGAAATTGAGGAAATGCTTCCTGGTTTTGCTGCTCAGTGTGACCATTGACTAACAATAAAGTTATTCTCATCACTGGTAACACCTAAGCACAATAGAGTGTTGAAAAGCATGTCTGAATTATGGATAGAAAAACTTGATCAGTGGTATTTTTAATAAACCATTCAAACCTTTATTAGGAGGAATGCTGGGTACCGAGTGTACTGAGGCCTGTACGGAGTGCAGACTTTCTGGCTTCAGAAATTTAACTCTTCCTAAAGAGTTAGCAACACTTTTCAATGGCAAGTACCTGAACGAAACCTTGGGTAGCCTGGGAATACTCAGACTAGCAAGCAATGTCAGAGACATCATTGTACTTGTAAAAGTCTTCTGGGCACACAAATTAGGTTTCCTTCCATTTATACAATGCCTAAAAGATACACTATTAAAATTTAATATAGTAAATTATCAATAAGGAGAGTTCTGGGAACATTTGGTGCTCCATATTCTTGACTGCCTTCATGACAGTTCTGCTTTCTAAGTCTTAATCAATCTTCCTGTCTTAGGAAGATCTATTTGATCTTTCTACTCCTAGAACAACTGTAGTAACCACATCTGAAGTATTTGAAGTGAATTGTCACACAATCTGCCTGTGATTTGGCCATGCTTTAGTCCTGGGGGAATACAGTATGGGGCTGCACATCCTCCTCTCAGCTACATGCTGTACCTGCCTCATGCCGTAACAGAAAAATTACTCAGCTGTAGAGCTCCTGGTCCAGAGAGGTACATGACCTTGAGTTGTTTAATTTTAAATAGTCTTTGCTGAAGAACAGTTAGGGAAGAACTGATAGGTGACTCCAAGATACTGGCCTTTTTATAGTTTGGCACAGGGACGTGGACAGGAGTCCCAGCATACAGAGATTCTAAAATCATGGGGCCAAATGTGTCTGTATTGGCACTAAGGAAGTTACATTTGGGATGAGTTTGGCCCTTAGTTTGAGAAAATGATAACCTTATGAAAATCTATTGCTAAGTTTATGACAATGCTGAGCAGTAAGCAATTTTTCCAGTAGAATCCAATATACATTATAATGAATTGTTTTCCTTCTTTATTGGCAGCCAGCCCTGTTTAATTGGGTTGCTAGAAGGTGGGAAGTATCCAGAAATCCTATTTGTTAATCTGATTTGCTGTTTGCTCCTTGAACACAGTATCTTTTAGGGCTGACTGTATGTGCACCTGTGATGCACCAGCACAGCAGCTTCTCCTGACAGGTCTGCTTTGCCCAGACACAACCTCCACTGTTTCCAATGGGCTGGGGTTGGTGGAGGAAGCAAAACTGATGTCCTGCCAGAATGGTGGAATGGGACATCTCCCTAATGCACTAATTATTAACTTGAATGAGATACAGCTGGAGATCAACTCTCAGGAGAGATGGGGGAAAGTCTGTAAGAGTAGAGTCCCACTGAAACATGGCCTCTGCCAGAGATAGTAAAGCTTGGAAGAAAACCTCACCTCAGCAAGCAGAATAGGTGAAGAAATACCTGTTCCCAGTGCAGCTGTTATACTCTGCACTCTTGAGAGCAATACCAAATGTACAAATGGCTTTCCAGAAGGCCTGCATGGGGCACAGGAATGTTCACTGTGAATATATCCCTGTCCCAAATTCTCAGTTCTGGTTGGAAGGGGATTTGTTGCCATCTCAGCAGATTTTGACACTGAAGTAAGTTTTGCTCTGCCTGCAAGATACTAGGATTCATTCTGTTGCTGTAAAAAAATACTAGAGAAGAATAAAATACTTATTTTTTAAAAAATTAATATAATGCTCCCTAGTGTTCACAAAAATGGAATTTTTAAAAAGGGAATAAAAAAAAAATCCATAGAAAAAAGGTTTTCTAACAACCTTTGGTTTTCAACCTCTTTCCTACCACTGAAAACAGTGGCCTCTGTCTAGCACTTAAATTTTCCTGCAGCTTCACAGAAACTTCAGCTGGAACATCAAAACCCCATAGTATGTGCTGTTGCTTCACACTAACCATGATCTCATGATCTCATTATTATGGTACAAATGAATGTATCTTTCAGTCATTATACCTATAAAGAACTCAATGGTTGTAGTAGCTCTAAAGACCTAAAACAACTAAATGAGTTATAAACCATTCTAGCTTTCCTTAATCAGAGTGAACCCTTCCAGGTGTTCTTTAGCCAGATCACTTAAGCAGTGTCCAGGTTTATAAACAAACAATGTTCCATTTGCTAGTTTATAGTTTCCTGTCCTCTACCCTCTTTAAAATGCGAGATTCAAATCTGCTACTTCTTAATGTCCAGGAATCTCTTGACTCTTGTGATCTAGAATATGTCAGTGAAAGGATTGCAGATGTGCCTTTCCTAAAAACTTAGATTATCTGGACTTCAGGCTCTGTTTGATTTTAGTGCATGTAGAGGTTTTTGTAGCTGATACTACTGTTAACTCTAACACATGGGAGACTCTCACCCTCCCTTTCCTTTCTGCAGACAACTACAAATGAGCTGCTCAACAGATGTTCTGTTTGCTATTATCCAATATCTATTCCTCACTATCATTTTTCATTGACCCAATGATTATCCTTTGCCTGGTGTGTGTGTGTATATATATAAGATCATATAACATTTATCACACTAAGCACATACAAATTCCAGAACTGGACAGTTGTAAGACATTATTTTATGTGGAACCAAAGTCACTTATCTGAATGATTTGCAGATGTGATCTCAGAGCTGCCTCCAAGTGCAGAGGGAAGAATGTTTACTGTGACCAAGAGCCTCCCACTCATGCTGGAGTGGGACCACTGTTTGCAGTGTCCAAGTCAGCCTCGGCCCCAGCTCCTAAGCAGTAAGATAATCAAATTATGCAAAGTGGGCAAAAAACCCTTTTGATGACATAAACAGGAACGCTTATTTTCAATTCCTTCAGGAAAACCAAATGAGTTAATGCTTGTGCTTGGATGACTATACTCAGAAGTACATGGTGGATTTGAAATGATTCCACTGATGATGACTCTGTCACTTTACATTGGGGTTCTCCACATGATTTCTAGGGCATGTTGGAAGAGCTTACAGTGCCCAGTTCTCAGTAGCAATGGGGTTATTCTTTATTTGCTTTTGAAATTATCTGCTATATTTTGTTTTCCTCAGTAGTTTCCCAGAATTCTTCAGTCTGTGTTTCTACACAAAATGTAGTGTATTTTGTATTTACTACCACCTTTTCTTGTTGATTTTCAACCTTTTGCCTGTTCCATAACTGTAACAACCTGTGATGTACAATGAGTATTGAGAATGCAAAAAGTGGTTAGTAAGCCTACTGCCCCTTAAAGTATTATTTATGTTGCTTAACAATTCACTCCCTAAAATTGTGTCTATTTTTAAAAACTATCTTGAGGTATAGCAGATATATTTAGTATGTATTATAGGAACTAATTTAAAAACGATGACCAACAAGAAAAAAAGTTGTACTCACTGTGACATCCTTCTTTGTAGTAGCGAGCCCGAAAACATCCCCTGTAGCAGAAACAAAATTCATTTTAGTGTCCAGGTAGGAATAAACACCAAAAGCCAACTAAATTTATTTAAATAAATGTGATTAATGTATTTATTACTGTACCTTCAGTTATGGATGTTTATTTGTGCAGTAATAAAGTAGTGATTGTCAATACGAAATGGAACAATTGATGTGTATGTGCAGCACCCAGCAGACACTAAGTAAATCACAGGAGAAATGTGATTCTCCTGAAAAGACTGACTTTTACAAGGAGAAATTAGCCTTTAAATGTTCAGTAGGTCTATGGTGGGATGTCATCACATCTTTTCATTTTCCCCATTTTGTTCTGCATGGTTCCCTTTGAGCTCCCCTATACTGAGTTTGGATAATGATTAGTTACCATCTGATAAAGCACTGTGGTTTATAGATGAAGGGAAAGTTTATTTTATAGAGATTAAAACATATTAACGCAAACAGATTTTAAAATAAGTTATCCTGCAGTCTCATTATTTGATTTTCTGCAGTACATCAAATTTTATATTCCTGTAGTTTTTTCATAGCAAAACAGAGGCAAAACTGGTCATAGCCTATCAGATAAATGTATTTTCCACCAGCAAAACACACCGGTGACTTTGCTCAAAGGCGTCTGTTTCTCCCTGACAACAGTCATGCTGCTTTCAGCCTCTCAGTAACCCTCAGTTTGTCTGTACCGACAAATACACACTCTGCTTTACAGCTACTATTTAAGCACGAATATTTGACGTGGACTCCCTAGTCCGCGCTGGTCGCGGGGCAGGGACCGCACATTATTATTTTCATTATTTAAAGTTCCCGCGGGCGCTTGGGCGGGCCCCGGGCCGTGGGCACGGGCCGCTCCCCTCAGGCGCGGGGCGGCGCGGCCGCCGGGGGGCGCTGCGGCACAGGCCACGGGCCGGCCCCGGGCGCTGAGGGCGAGCGGCGGCCGCGGGCCGGGGCCGGGGCGGGGGCCGAGGCCGGGGCCGGGGCCGGTGCCCGTGCCCGTGCCCGAGGGCAGCGCGGAGCCCTCCTGTCCCCTTCCACCCGACAGACGCAGCCGTGTGCCCGCGGAGCTCCCCCGGTGCGGTGCAGGTTCTCGCCTCCTCGAGAGGGCATCTCAGCCCGGTCGCTTCCGGGGTGGGCACAACTCGAGCCCGGTGACAAAATTCTGCAGGCAGCACCTGCGGAGAATCAAGGACAGCTCTTGGCCTCAGGGCAGGCGCCTGTTTTGTTAGTTCTGGTTTAAGATAAAATCAAATTCTTTGCTGTCACTGAGTCCATTTAAAAATTATTTTTTAATTTATTGTAGAATGTTCATAGAATCATAAAATTGCCAAGGTTGGGAGAGACCTTTAAGATCATCAAGTCCAAGTGTCAACTTGGCACTACCACTGGAACCCCTAAACAACTAAACCACAGCACCCAATGCCAGATCCAGCCACCCCTTAAACACTTCCCGGCGTGCTGGTTCCACTCCCTTACTAGAAGCGGGGGGTCAACTGTTAAGGTGTTCAAATGGACCTTAAAGATCTTCTGGTCCCAAACTCCCTGCTATGGGCAGGGACACCTCTCAGCAGAGCAGGTTGCTCAAGGCCTTATTCAGCCTGGTTTTGAACACTGTGAGGGATGGCACACTCACAGCCTCCTGGGAAACATGTTCCAGTTTCTCACCACCCTCACAGTAAAGAATATCTAAAAGAATATCCTAATATGTAGCCTAAATTTTCCCTCTTTCAGTTTTCTATCCGTTGCTTCTTGTCCTATCGCTATAGTTCCTAATTAAAAGTCCCTCTCCAGCTTCCCTGTAGGGCCCCTGCATACACTGGAAGGTTGCTATGAGGTTTCCACTCAACCTTCTCTTCTCCAGTCTGAACAGCTCCAACTTTCTCAGCCTGTCTTCTTTTCAACTTCATGGTCTTCATGGACTTGTTCCAACTTGTTTCATGTCCTTCTTACATTGGGGACACAATTCTCTGCCTTTTTTTTTTCCATGTTCATTTTTATATCTCACTCCAATCTTTTTGCATTTTTTATTTCTATTCTCAAAACAAACAGAAAAAGTGCTTTCTTCTGGTTTGTTTGCAGCCTCAGGGTAGCATTCCAAATATTTTCATTCACTTTTTTTTTTTTTTTTAATACACATACTTATCTGTGTCTTATTCAGAGTGAAAACAAATACTTGAATATTATGCCAGTTCCTCTCAATTCTTCTGCTTGACTGTGATTACACAGCACTATCCGAAACACCCTTGAGACAGTGAAGTGCTTCAGAAGTGCTGTTTGTAACCCCTGACAGAGGCCCCGTTCCTCTTCCAGCTCTGTCTCCAGAGCTGATTAAAGTAAGCACAGTATAAAATCAAAGTTGGGACCATTTGTGCTTCCATCCTGGTCAAAATATACCTGGTCCAGAATTAGAGAATTCTGACTTTCTGGAGATTATATTCACCTCTGAGAGTCAGTTGAGAGACCCAGCAGCCCTGGGCAGCTGGCTACAGCTGCCAGCCTGATTTGTGGCCAAAGATGATGTATTCTATTTTAAACATACTGTTTAAATCAAATAATTAATTTTTTTCCCCCATGAGACTTCATAAAATATCATAAACAGGTAGAAGTTAGACCACATATTCCTTGATATTTCTAATCTTTAGGCAGTTCTACAATCTTTACTTTCAATTGTGCCAAGAAAGCACTGACTGGCTCATTCTGCCTAAAGCTGTCCCAACCTTGGTGGAAGGCAGTGTCACCTGAAGGGAAGAACTGCAAACTTTCTGTATCTGAGATTAATTTTGTGGGGAAAAAAAAAAAAAGCTGTTAATATTATCTACTTGCCATGAATTACATGGTCAAGTGATGACATACTAAATCAGATAAAACATTTAGAAATATCAAGATCTGGTAGTTCAATTCTGATTTTTTCTCTCTTTCACAACAGTCATAGTATCAAACAGATTCATAAGAGACCTTCCTTGAAAGAAATCTGGATTTCTTACAGCCATGGAAAGTTTTCTTTCCTGCTTACATCTTGCGTTGTAACACCAAGTTATATTTGCTCTCTTTTTGTGGGAGCACTGTACAGGTGGCTGGAGAACAAGTCGGACTAAACCTTGAGAGGCAAGTTGAGAGCAGATGAGTCAAAAGAATAACGTAGAAGAGACAAAATTTTTATTTAAAAATATGATGTCCTTTATTTTTGTGAGTTAATATTGGGCATATGATTAACCCAGCAATGTGTGATGCTCATTTATTTGATGACCTTGGGACCTTACAGTGAACAGTAAGGGACTGTGACACAGACCACGTGCTGAGAGGCAGTGTACATTAGGTTTGTCACAGCACCACACCACTGATGACACAGCTTCCACACGGGAGCTGGCTCCTCTCCTGGCAGCTCAGAGCTCAGGCAGAATGAACATGTGTCTGCCTGCACCCCTCTGCTCAAAGTCTCTCAGATTTCCCCAAAGGTAAGAAAATGCATTACCATGCAGAACATACAGATTTTTCTATGAGGCCTGATTCACATTTGTGCAAATGTTACTGATTTCCATATATTTCTGATTCATCTTTAAAACAATAAATTTTCAGAGTTAACTAGCTGAAGCTCTGCTCCTAAAATACTGTCCTGCTGATTTTCTAGAGTTCATGTGCAGTCTCCTTCTCTGGTAGACTATGGGGAACTGCTACTTCTTGATTTGAAGAGGTTATTTAGGAACTGAGTAACAATTCTATGATGATATGAAGCCATTTATGTCTTTCCTGCTGGGTGCTTGCCAGTGAGCATGGATTATGCCATCTTGTGCAATGCACAACCGTGTATTAATATACACACAAACAATCTGAGCTGGAATTCCAGTTCCTCACACTCCCTCTGAGAAACATAAATTAATCCCAACAGAACAGGATTTTGCCCTCCTGACAATACCAATAACCATACCACATCCTCCAGAATATTCTTTCAATAGTGTTTTTATGGGATAAGTTTTCCCACTAAAAATCATTGCAGGAACATTCTCTGTTCATCAAAACATGAAACCAAGTGGCTGCTGCTTCTTGAAAAGCATGAAGGTGTTGGTGTGAATATTGCACAACAATATTCACAACAACAATATTGCCCTAGTATTTACAGGGGAAGGAAAAAAATAGCAGCCTTTAGAGAGGTTTAACTCAAATCCCCATGTGCACCAGTGCTGCATCCAGCCTAAAGCCAATATATTTTTTGATCCTAAGCCTTGCAATCTGAAGTTATCCTGTGGTTCTGCAGTTGTGTTTATTTTGGAAGATACAAACAAATAACAAGGGGAAGGATATACGAGATAACACAGAGAGCTAT